ATTTATTTATTTATTTATTTATTTATTTATTTATTAGACTTACATACCACTTCATAGGGCTTTCAGCCCTCTCTAAGCGGTTTACAGATTTTTAGCAAGTTGAGTCAGCAAATCGCCCCCACAGTCCGGGTCCTCATTTCACCCACCTCGGAAGGATGGAAGGCTGAGTCAACCTTGAGCCGGTGAGATTTGAACTACAGATAACAGTCAGCTAAAGTGGCCTGCAGTACTGTACCCTAACCACTGCGCCACCTCGGGGGTTTTTTGGCAAAAAAAAAAAAAAGCTCATTTTTGGAAAAAAGGGCCGTTTTTTGCTCATTTTGCCCCCCCCCCCAGCCCCCAGGAGCACTTTGTAAGCCTCTCAAACTCTCTGCATGTCCCATTTTTTTTTTACAAAAAATGAGGCGTGCAGAGTGTTTGGGAGGTCTACAGAGTGAAAAAACCTTTTTTTAAATTTACCTCTTTAAACTCTTGGTGCGTCTTATACTCCAGTGCGTCTTATACTCTGAAAAATATGGTAACTCTGGAGTGGTGCTGGTATTCAGCACGAGTCTAAAAACTCAGAAGACTAAACCTCTGGTCCTGGTGACTGACCCAAATTGGATCCTTCAGCATTACCCTGGGACACCTATATTGGCCTTCATTCGTAACAAAATGGAATTGTTGAATTGTCCCATAGTGAGTTGCCCTGTGGTGTTGATTATGGTGAGTTGGCTGCGGCAAGTTGTCCCATTCTGAAAATAGATGGTTTCTAGGAAGCAAACTGCTTTCCCAGTCATTCACTACTTCACAAAACAAAGCAATTGCGCCACTGAAAGTCAGCCATTTTCTTGCCAAGGTTTCAGTGGTGGGTTGCAGGCGGTACGTGGGTACCGGTATCTACTGGAAGCAGCAGCCACCGTACCGGAATGATACTTTGGAGGGCCCACCCGGCCGCCCTCGTTCCTTACCTGTATTTGAAGGAAACGGGCCAACTGTGCATGTGCGTGCAGCGTACGGCCCCTGTGCGACACTCTGCCAAGCAGCTGGAGTGTCGCAGGCGGTGGGTGCGCATGTGTGTGCACGGCCAGCTCCTGTTGCAAAGGGAGCCAAAACCCACCACTGCAAGGTTTGCTAGCATTTCTTGGCGTGCTGGAAAGCTCCTCAGGGCCTCATGGCATAGAAGAGGAGGACGCCTTTTCTACATGCATGTAACGTACCTTTCTCAAAGAGGCCGGACAAACAGTCCTTCCTTGTGAAAGAAGAAAGAGACACAGTCTAGGACCGTGATGAAAACCTATGACATGCGAGCCAGAGGTGACACACAGAGCCGTTAGTTAGGCATGCAAGGCGTTGCCCTGTCAGCTCCAGCGCGCATGCATGCACTGGCCAGCTGACTTCAGCCTTCATTTTCGGCCATTTTTCCCTGAAGCCTCCGGAGGGAGAAAAACAACCCAACGCGCAAACTGGAAGTTCGGGAACGGACTTCCAGATTGCCCGTATGGCCGTTTTCACCTTCCCCAGGTTCCAAGAAAGCCTTTGGAGCCTGGAGAGGGAGAAAAACGGGTCCATCGCGTGCCAAAAGTGGAGGGAGATTGGGAGTTGCGTGTGCATGCATGAGGGGGTCGCATGCACATGTGTGTGGTGGTTGCACACATAGAATTATGGGTGTGGGAATCCCCGCGCATGATCCCCCTGCGTTCCCATTGCTTTTGGCACGCAATGGCAAAAAGGTTAGCCGTCACTGATCTAGGACAAGGCCATTTTCCAACCTTGGCAATTTTAAGACTTGTGGACTTCAACTCCCAGAATTCAAAGCTGGCTGAGGAATTCTGGGAGTTGAAGTCCACAAGTTTTTAAGTTGCCAAGGTTGGAGATCCCGAGTTTAGGAGGCCCTAGGTCAGTGATGGCGAACCTTTTTGTGGTTGGGTGCCAAAAATGCGAGGGCGTGTGTGCAATAGCGCACGTGCATGCCGGCACCCATAATGCAAAGCTCACCCCCACATGTACATGTGTGCACAACCCCCCATGCTCCCCTCCTCCACGCACGCTGCACTGCCCGCCTCTAAGCTGAGCTTGGCATTTCCGCCAGGGGAGGCCGTTTTCACCCTCCCCAGGCTCGAGGAAAGCCTCTGGAGCCTGGGGAAGGCATAAAACAGCCCCAACGGGCCAACCAGAAGTTCAGAAATGAATCGAGAACGGCCTCCCTCGCCCCTCCAGAAGGCCAAAAACCAGCTGGCCAGCCCCACGGATGCGCGCTAGAGCTGACGACTCGTGTGCCAACAAATACGGCTCCACATGCTACCTGTGGCATGTGTGCCATAGGTTTGCCATCATGGCTCTAGGTGTTGGCTGCCAACTTTCTGCTGGACCATGTGCTTCCTGACGTTAACTTCTCATCCAGACATACTTATAGACTCTTCCCAGCCCCCAAATTACATGAATGTGATCACTCCTGAGCCAAATGGTAACAGACGTTGTTTCCCACTAGCCATATTTGAGCCAGCCTTGCCCTCGTGATATCTCTGTTAGGACTTCACATAGTTCTCCAGATCTCAGCAACAGTGCATTTCAAGATAAAAGCACCTGACCCAATGACATAAATGATTCAACAGAAGATTTTAAGCATTTCTCTTCCTAGAATCTTTGGCTTCAAAATGGACTGTTTCCAAGAAAAATAAAGCAA